ATACCATCGGATTGGACCGTTAATACCAGCGAACACATAACAAAATAGAAGCGCTACTCGGAGCGCAGGAGCGTGGCAGTTTTACTAGCCGGCGAAACGGACAAAGATGGCGGCGCTAGCCTACCGGTCGGTGAAATAAATATGTGCACTCGAGTTTGAGACTAAATATCTCAGAGATGAATAATCCAATTTTGTTGAAACAAAAATTAAATATAAGCTGGTTTAAATACATTTTACGTGGTAGCAATAAAAAAATCCGTTTACCAGAAAAATTTATATTGTTGAAAGATCCTAAAAAGTATCGGTTTTTAAGAAACTCTGCACTAACACTGAAGTTTAAAATTTAATTGTAAACAAACCACTGAGCCAATCCGGCCTGCCAGTTGCGGGAGAAATTTTTGTTTACAAATATATATCTGTTTAAAAAACACCTTTGTTCGCATTATTTATCTGTCATATTAGTGTTATTTCTTGTGTCACGACAAACACGATGATAGTTTGAACGAAATTTTTAGCGTCTTATTAACGATGTTAGCATACGTTTTAAAAATAAACATCAGCATAAAAACTATCGTGAGTAAAAATTTTAAAAAGCATGGAACTGTTAACAATAAATCTACCAATAAGCCATAAAAATTTCAGAAAGATTGCCTCAGTGGTTTGTTTACAATTAAGTTTTAAACTTCAGTGTAAGTGCAGAGTTTCTTAAAAACCGGTACTTTTTAGAATCTTTCAACTATAAAATATTTTCTGGTAAACGGAAATTTTTAAATTGTTACCACGTAAAATGTATTTAAACCAGTTTATATTTAATTTTTGTCTCAACGAAATCGGATAATTAATCTCAAGAGATATTTAGGCTCAAACTCAAGCACATATTTATTTCCCCGACAGTAGTCCCGGCGTGTGCAGCGCGCTAGTCGTCTGCTATGCTTGATGAGAATAGTGTAGATATAAAGTTAATGATATTAGTGTAAAGGAAAACAAAGTAATTGAGTACTTGACGAACAAAGTACTTGGACAATGTGTAGGAGTAAATTTGTTTCCAAATAGTACATATTTCTCAGAATATGAAACAATATGGACAAAAATCATTTTTGTTTAGTACCTAATTAAAATTATTGCTCAAAAATATTTCAATGTTCGCTACTACTGTAAAATAAGTAACGAAAGTCTTCACAAAAACAAAATCAGGCAACATCTCAATAAAACTGTAATTTTTCTGGGACAATAAATTGAGTGTAATTTTACAAATATATTTGGGAAGTTTAATTTAACTTACAGAATTATCTTTAGTTTATCTTGGATGATATTGAAGCTAATTAGTCCTTAAAAGTTGTGCTAAACGGTTGAAAATTCTTCATAGACAATATATTTGAAAATTTCTTTAATATATACAATATTACAGTACAACAGTATAAATAAAACATTAAAACACTGCACGCTAAATGTACAGACGACGGCCGGGCGGCGCAGCGGCAATAGATCCCTTTTGTACCTGTTTTTTTTAGAAAACCGAACATGATAAAAATTTTTGGTGAATCGGATAGTTAAATTTGGTTATTTATCGACAACTTTCCCGCTGACAAAATTTCTCTGACCAAAAAATAAAAAATGTCCTCGCAATACAACTTTTTCATGTCTGAATCTCAAAAATTAAACTACATAAGTGTTAAACATATTTATAACTCAATTACTATCATAACTAATAATTTTATATTAACACCATCGTTTTCCTCAGTATCATATCTACATGTGTGCAAAATTTCAGAATTTTTTGTCAACTATTAATGTTGTTTATGATCGTGTATTTGTCGCGGGGTTTTTAATGCGAACTGAGCTCGCGGGCCTTGGATTCAGGCTGTATGACGGACCAAGATGGCGGATTTGGCCACACTTTCAGTGTATTTGGTTAAACGCCGTGTCCTCTCTATTATTATTATTATTATGTGCTCGCTGGTTAATACCCTCTAACATTGAACAAAGTATGCCCAACTTTATATGACGTAAACACAGCTGTTACTCACAGAATAGGTCAAAGATTCGTGAAATGCGACCGACTGCTGATGTGTGATTTACATGTAAGTGACTATCTTTAGTATCCTTATACCATACAACAAATGTAATAAAAAAAAAACAACGAATATAGGAATATACTTGAACAAAAATTATCTCCATAGCATAAGTAGCTGCTTATTAGGTTATCAGTATTGTGCAGTTTGTATACTATTTATTTTTCAAATGAAACTCGAATTAATATAAAACATTTATTTGGTTAAACTAATACATCGGTTTGATTAACATAAAATAGTTTATACAGGCAAACTATCAGTTCTATTTCATGTAAAAAATTTACCAGCTCCTAAATAAAATACAAAGATAAATAGTATTTGTTAATTATTATGTCTTTTATTGCTGACAATATTCCCGTGGCGGAGCACGGGCGGTTAACTAGTTATAGTTTAATGTGTTGAAAATGTAAAATGTACTGACCTTTCCTATTACAATGTATATATTGTTTAACGGAATAAAGAATTGTCTATTGTCTATTGTCAACTCTTGTTCAAGAGTAATTTTTTACTTGCCTTTTGAAGCGGATCAAGTCCGACTCCAGCTGAAGGGAGGGAGGGAGTAGATTGAATAGTTTTGCCGATTCCAAGCTTAGGTAAAACAACTAGATACACTGTAATAAATCCCAGACACTTGGAGGTATAAGTGTTGCGGAAAAGTCTTGAACATAAACCCAAACTATTTACATTCAACAAAGGCACGCTTGGGAACCGTGGATAAGAAGGGTTTCGACAACAGAGGCTCCAAGTGAGGCTTATACAAGACAATAAGAAATGTTCCTTGTCGTTGACTCCTCCCTCCCCCCCCCGCCAAACTTCTCCCCCAATCCATTGTTACAAGGATAAAGTGGTTATTCGCCCAATCTCATCAAGGGTTCAGTGTAATACCTCAGTATTTATCACACTCATAACTCCTCACAGGAAAAGAGTGGGTGTGCTTTCGAGTGATAAAACAAAAGCTAATTGTAGAGATTTAATGTACATAAGAATAATACCCCCGCCGCAGCAAACCTTCAGACTAAGCGAATTTCAACTAGTCTGATTACATTTTTTACTAAAATATTTCCATACATAAGACATATTTATTCCTAATTTAAATAACATTACAATTAACGAGTTCTTAGGTTTGCTGCTACGGGGAAGGTAAAAATTGTTTTTGACCATACGTCAATTGGCATAGGATGAAATAAATAAATTTGCCAAATTTTATCAACATATATCCATAAACAAGTAAACTACAACAGTTTTCATTTCCTCCATGACATAGGAATTTTAAATTACACTTTTTTGTAAATTTTCTCCGTAGCCGTTAGGCATGCAACAGCGCTTCAATATACTAAATTATTTCTTTTTTTAAGCTCTACAAAATGGTTTCGAATGAAGTTACAAATTTTATTGTTTTTAGGGTCATAAATGAGAAACCCCCATTTTTACCGTATATTATATGAATTTGAACGGAAGGTGTTTTTGTCCACTGGGGACCTCAAAACGAAAATTAAATCGGTCCCGGGCCCAGGTCTTACCATGAGACCTGCCGTAATAGCTTATTCCCAGTATGGGAAATTCGCTAAAACAATACTAACAACATAAGTTTGTGTCTACGAATCTTGAAGCTGGTGGAATTGATCTCGGTTGTTAGTATTATCATATTCATATGTATAATTTGCTCTTAGAATTTCAAAAAAAAATTGTAGCCTATTAAAAACTACGCAATACTCTCCCCCTTTGGATACAGGTAACAGCATAGGCAAAATAAGTAATCATTTTCGGTCGTAGTATTTAGTAGGCATAGTTTTGTAGACAATAATTCTACTTTCTGCACATTCAAACAACTGCCGATAGTGAAAATTACCTTGCTTGTATTTAATTTAAAATAGAAAATCGGCGAAATAAATTAGATTAAACATTCCATGAACTACTGAGGTTCAGGAATCATTATCACAACAAATAAGTTTAAGTTCTTTATCCAATATTTAAACAACAAGGAGGCTTTTTAAGACGATTTTGCTATTTCGTTAGCATTGTACGAACACAGTTAGTTACACCGGGAACTCCTTCATCAATCGCTCTACAAATAAAAATATAGAAGAAAAACATACTGCTCAACAAAAATGAATGAATCGAAACATACAATGAACCAAATGAATTTATTTTTTAAATTACAAAATGAAAATGACTACAAATGGTGACATACATATCCGTTAGATTTGTAACGGTTACAGTTTAACTATATTTATCAAAGGGTAGTGTTAGTACCTATAAATACATCATAATCAGGAATGTAGTGATTGCATGGAACAGAGGCTATCGTGGTTTTGTAACTGTACGTTGGACCAAAACAGCATGGGATATAATCATTCCGGTTCCATAAATGTAGGCCTATGAATATGTTGACCATTATCTCAACATAATTTTAATTACAGAGAATTAAGATATTCTCTTAATAGTTTTAAAGGAACTGATAATTATTGTTTTTGACTAAGTCGTATTTATTATACCCAACATAGGGCAGAAAACTATTTAACATAATAAGACGATTCAATCATTTGAATAGTCAAAAATATTTGGACATTAATAATCGAAACCAAAACCGGAATTCCCTTTTCATTTTCTCAGCGTTTATGCAGTTTTACTATTATTTTTGATTACATGTTAAGTAGCCTACAAGCCATTTTGTAGAAATTTGAAATATAGTTCCTAATTCCTGGTTCAATAATGTTATTTTAATTACTGTTGACCAATTGCTTTAAAGTAGCATTGTCTAATATGGGTGTGTATTTTGATGTAGCCTACATATTGATTAAATCAAACTTCTAGTTTCAAGTTTAATCCAGTATAAATACTAGTTTCACACTTTTTGCCAGGTTTCTAAACTTAACCACAAATAAACCCACCAATTTCTGTTGATTAAAAATTGTTTTATTTTCAGAAATGACGTCAGCAGCCGAAAAGAAGCTTAACCTGGAGCGGGCCACAAACTTCATGCGACAGTACCGAGACCCGCAGTCCCGTGAACTCAAGAAGTTGTCCGCCAACCAGTTCATGGAGGTCTGGAGTCATTACGACAAAGACGGTCAGTCCGAGTACTAGGAGAAATAGTAAATTATCGTAAGAAGGGTAGAAAGAACAACAACAAGGAGTCAAAGTTAGTGTACAAAACAATTTAAACAAATGGCTCGATTGTTAAACAAATTTAATGAGAGTAAATAAACCTAGCTAATAGTCAATGGTCATAAACGGTAGGTGAATGGTTGAAATTTAGAGGAAACTACAACATATTCGTAAATGAAACAAAACAAGTAGAGAAAATAAACATGATAAGATAACCCAGTAATAGATTTAGGTAAACTGTAATAAGTCTCGATTTTTTAAACTATTTTTTCTAGATAGCTAATATTTTTGTGTAAATTATTTTAAATACGATAAGCAATTGCAGTAAAATAATTTTCAAACTTGCTATAGCATGCAGCTTACAAAACTGAGTGATTCCATTGTTCGTAAGCACAATCTATGAGATGAAAAATGGACTCGGTAGAATTGAAGGTCAAACATTTAAAGAAATTCAAGCTCTAAAAGATACAAATGGGAGGTTGACACGTATGAATCTTCGTCTTAAACTAATACTTCTCAGTTTATTACAGTATCGTTAGAAAATATTATATTCACAATCTTCGTAATAATAAACGTTATAGAATCAAAACATAACAATCATGCACATAATGCAATTATTGGCTAAGCCGTTGGCATGTATAAATAAAATAAAATAAAATAAAATGCGTGAAAATGTTCATTGTTATGGACAGGTAGTGATATATTTTCATTATTGCAATATACAGATTGAGAGAGATTTTCATTTCAATTTTAAACAAACTCAAACAACCCTCTCGACAAGAGAGTGAAATAACTGACAGTAAAATAATTTCCAAAAGAAAGATAATCCAATATTGATTGATGGATTGGTTCTGAAAGCTTCGACAATCTGAAATAATTCCTTTCTAAACGTTTTTAATTAGTTAGGCTTTGGAAATCTTTCAAGCTAACGCAATTGTTTAGTTAAATCTCTAGAATTGAAGCGGCAAAAAACTCCGCAGAATCAAACATCAGAGGTTATGGAATATGTCTATTTTAACATAATGATACTAGACTAACGACTCCTTACCGTAATTAAGTTTGTACCGCAAATCGTTGTTGTATAAAATAATAACAATGCTTGGCTTAAAAGTTACTATAAATCAACCAAATGTTTAGTACTTTGTGGTTCGTTTTTTTTAACCAAATGTTTTGTCTAATTAATCGATGTTAATGGGTCAACTTGTCTCCGTTGATGTTTTGGCCTGGATAGTTTATGTATCATACACCTGAATCCAATTAATTTCAAGCCATCAAACTTAAATATAGCTTTTCTGAGGATCGAACCAATAGTTAAGTGAGCTACGTAACCAAATACTCAACTAGGCTACAATACAGTAAGAGATTCTTGCTACTCAGTTTTAGGTTGATCTACATATAAATTAGAACTTGATCGATTCGTAACTTTAATGCTTTTAAGTTAATTTAAAGTAACTATACATAAGAAGTTCTTAAATTCCCTGACGTTCATTGTCCATTATCTGTTACAGGCAATGGGTATATAGAAGGGACGGAACTAGATGGGTTTTTGAGAGAATTTGTATCCAGTGCCAACGCAGAAAACGTCAGCCCTGAGGTAGGTTTGAGCTCTTGCAATATGCTTAGAAAATTTACCCAAAAACATTTAAAAGGATTCGAAGAATCAAAACTTAACAATTTATGGTTTAGGTTTTGATTACAACTATTATTTTTTTCTAGCTTACATCACAGTTATCACACTAGATACAGACATAACTTTGGATACCGCACTCCACAACTAACCCATAGTTCGTTGGAAAATAACGTATTTTACATAGCTCACATCATTTACCGCAACTTGCCGCCCAACATAACTGATGCTGAATCAGGCAGTGTCGCTGTGTATAAAAGCAACGTCTGTGAGTGGCTGATGACTGCAGAGGCTATAATTCGCTCACCTTACATAAAAATTCACCTCTACCTCAAACACCACCATAATAGCTATCAACATACACTTTTATTCATATATAGAATACATATATTTTTATTGTTGTGCTTAAGGTTCTTTATTTGTTAAATAATATTCTAGTATACATGTATATTTTTAAGAGATCCTGATATGTATCGAAGAGCTTAGACGTACACATTGTTTATAAACTGTGCTCCTGTGTTTGATCTATGGACAATGGACAATACATGTTTCCTGCTGGTAAGAGCTCTTCCCTCGAGCACGGACTTGTATTCTTACCAATGATTATGTATTCATGTATATTTCAAGCTGAATAAAGTGATTTTTGATTTGATTTGATGTGATTAATAAAGTAATATATTGAGGTGGGCTAGTAATATAACATTAAACATTAATTTTTCGTAAGGTAACAACTCTTCATTACAAAAAAAAAAACAATAATAAAAATAAAAAATAAACGCATAGTGTCTATCAAATCAAATAATCTTTATTTCGCACAGAAAATCTGTATAATAGCGTCACAAAAATATAAAATAAATCTAAATTCTAAAGAACGCAAATGTAACAGAACAGTCTAAAATTGAAATTTTGTCACTTTACATTCTGTTCAACAGGTACTTTGCTGCAGCTAGAGTACGTTTTCAAATTATACTAACAAAAGTAATACTAAGTGTAAAGATTTGATTCCAATAAAAACATTTTTTATCATGTCATTAAAATATTAGTCTTGTTATTCAGTTATATTTTTTTGTTTTATTTGATTGAACTGTAATATTGCCATAAGCTTTCTCTAATCATCGCAAGTAAATGTTTTTAAGGGTTTTAGTATTTTATATCTAATGAATATAACCCAGGATACATGTTTGCAAATAATAATAATTTTTTTGTCTGTAAAATAGTCTTTCTAGATCCACGATAGTAAATATACGAGATACTTATATATAAACAAGAAAATAATAATATATGTGTGTCTGTGTGTATGTATATGTACATATACAAATATAACAAATATAATAAATATTATGTGTGTGTGTGTATATATGTATATATATTTTTTCTATTTGTGTCATTCCAAACCATATATTAGTTAGTCAATGTCCCACAATCGGTTGACCTCATTGTTAAGGCAGATAAAAAAAATACCCCAGAAGTCTGGGAATTTCAGTTTATTTTGATTCAATCATGATTCTTTTATCATTTAAAACATGTTGTCAGATAAAGGGAAAAATCTGTTTTGTGCAGAAAGAATTTATCGTATCCGAAAGCCGCAGATAAGGCAACAAAAGCAGGCATTCCTACAGCCAATCCAGGCATGCCGAACGATACGCTAGCATTATCTATGGATAAGAAACCTTTTATTGAATGTCAGGAATTTTCCGATATAGATGAATTTAGAAATAGTTTTAATAGTTCAGATTCACTTTGTAACCAAAAATTCAGTTTTAGAGTATTACAGTTAAATATTCGGAGCTATAATAAAAACTTTGACGAGTTTTTAGTTTTATGGCAGGGTCACCAGATAAAATTCCATTGTATAATTTTGACTGAAGCTTGGTTGAGGAACGACAGTGAGCTCACAGCCCTAGAAGGCTATACCCTGTTTAGAACATACAATAGCCTCAATCAATGTGATGGTCTGGTTGTGTACTTAGATGACACGTTATTAGCAACATGTAACCAGATTTGTATTGGTGGAGTCGCCACCAGCTTGTCCATAGTTTTTACCTGGGCCAATATTGATTGTGAATTAATATGCATCTACAGAAAGTCCCTCCTCGTCACTAGCTTCATTTTACGACGGTCTTCAAACATTTCTTAGTACGACAAACAAAGTCACTTAAAATTATCGCCGGTGACATTAACTGTGAATTTCGTAATCCATGTTTAAATTCACAAGAGGAACCATACCTTGACTTGCTTTATGAATTCGGATTTATTCCACGTATAGATAAAATCACGCGGCCAGTTAGTGATACATGTATCGACCATTATTTTATAAAACTGCCAAACAGGCTGAGTGTCAACACTTCTGTTTTACAAACTTACATTACAGATCATTTTATTGTTTCTCTTGAACTGAAAAGCTTTACAGGTATTAGTAACGGCAACGAGTTTACATACAAGAATACTAATTGGAAAAATATAACAGTAAACCTTGAAATCTCAAAATTGGCAACAAGTTTTAAATTCAAATGACTTAGATGCAGCAACTATACATTTTATTTTGATTTTGCAGAATATCATAGAACAAAACACGTCCCAACAAATATTGAGAGCCAAAACGGCTAAATTAAAATAATGGATTACGAATGGTCTTCTTACTTCTATCCGCAATCGGGATAAATTAAGTAAGAGAGTTAAGCAAAACCCATTCAAAACACAGCTCCGTGTTAGATATGTCAGATACCGTAACTCATTGAAATCCTAACTAAAACGTGCAAAAAATGATTATTATAGAAATAAATTAGATGAGTTCCAGGGAAATCCAAGAAAATTCTGGGAAATTATTAATGATGTAGCGGGGCGTTCTGCTGGCAAGTCTAAATTTCCGTTGGAAGTTTTCAGTGTGGACCGGGATACTGCCCCCACCAACGATATTAAACACATTTGTGATCATTTCAACGAATACTATGCCTCTGTTGGATCACAGGTAGCCGAAGCGCTGCAGCCCGCCGGCCCCTTGGAGGTCGATGACGCTGACCACGCCACAGATTCCCAGTTCTCACTAAGGCCTGTCACCGTTGAGGAGCTTTTAAAAGTGATAAAAAGTATTAGAGGAAACTCTGCACCGGGATGGGATGGCATTCCCTCAAAATTTATAAAAAATAATGTAGACTCTCTCATTTTACCAATATTATACATAATTAACCTTAGTATACGGGAAGGGAAGTTCCCAGAGGTGTTTAAAGTCGCAAAAGTCATACCTGTTTATAAGTCTGGCCAAAAAAACCTAACAATAAATTACAGACCAATTTCATTAATTTGCACAGTGTCTAAAATTCTTGAAAAATGTGTAAAACTCCAGCTATCGGATTACCTTGAACAAGAGAAAATTATATGTGACGCGCAGTACGGATTTAGACAGAACCGCAGTACATCACACTCATTATTTGATATAACCAAATTTATTTCTGAAGAAATAAATAATAAGAAACATGTTTTGATAACATTCCTAGATTTGGCTAAAGCATTTGATTCCATTAACAGACAATATCTAATTTCTAAATTGAGACTAGTCGGCATCGGTGGTCATTCATTAAACTGGTTTATCAGTTATTTAGAAAATCGTTTACAATATGTGTCCATCAATGGTGTTGATAGTGATAAAACTAGCATTGACTATGGAGTGGTCCAAGGTAGTACACTCGGGCCCCTCCTATTCTTGATATGTATTAACAACCTTCCAAAAGTCAGAACTAAATGGAACGTTTTTTTGTTTGCTGACGACACGGCCATGATATCGTCAGGACGCACGTGGGACGAGGCATATGAACACGCATCTACAGACATTTATAAAATTAAACGCTGGTTAGACCAAAACACGTTAACCCTTAACATAAATAAAACAAAAAGTTTACCAATATTTTTTAAGAGTGAAAGTGACCCTAGCCCTAGGCAACTATTCCTTCATACCTGCGGCGACTTTCGGCCAGCGGCTTGTAATTGTGACGTCATAGAGCGGGTAGAGAAGTACACTTATCTAGGAATTATAATTGATCAAAAATTTAGTTGGGCTCACCACATTCATTATCTCAAACAACGACTTAGAAAGCTCATATATGCATTTTCTCAACTTGCTGGTGTTCTGACCACGGATTACTGTAGGACAGTTTACTATGCCTACGTGCAGTCTTTGCTTCAATATGGTATACTGGCGTGGGGTGGTGTCTCGGCCTCATGCTTGAGCCTCTGGCTGTTGCGCAGAGGTCATTAATCAAAACCGTCCTAAGCAAACCATCGAGATATCCAACAGAGGATCTGTACTCAGATTTTCGTGTTCATGATATACGACAGTTATTTGTTAAAACTCTTTTAGTCTTTATTAGGTCAAACAAAAACAACATTTTTACCAATTTGCAGCATAACTATCCCACAAGACATAGAATCAACTTTGGTTACCAATTTCCTAGATTAAATATAACCTCCCTAAAAAGAGTAACCCATGTTTTATCGCCCATATCTTATATCGCAATCTTCCGCCACAAATCCTAGAGTATGAGGAGAGCAGTGTCCCGGTGTACAAAAGAAAGGACTCACCATGGCTTGCCAGCATTGGCCGGACGGCTACGGAGGCGCTGATAAAATCCCCATATAATTGAGCTTATTAGAAAAAAAGTAAAATGTCAGTAAACTGCTGAGACCCTGGCATTGTAGATACATTTTTAGTTGTTAACTTTAATCTTTAGTTACTTTAGGAAATTCTTCTCTGAAATTACTTATTGTGTTATTTTGTCCTTATTCAATTTAGTACATGTTAACTTTTAAATTATGTTTTTATTTAATATTTACTTATTTTTAAGGAATAGTCACCCAGTATATTAATACATGTTTTACTTAGACGAATAAAATTATTGTATATCCAGAATGTAATAGATATTGTTATAGCAGATCTAGAACTCTTTTTCCGCACACGGGCTTATGCCTATGCGGAAAAATATATTTCTTTATAATTTGTATCTGTTTATTGTTTTGTTTAACTTTTGGAAATAAACGATTTGATTTGATTTGATTTGATATTAACTAAGTAAAATGAAATCCAAGCATATATGAAAATAATGCGTTGTTGTAGGCGGTGTCAGACGCCATGTTGGTGGAGCTGAAGCAGTGTTTCATGGAGGCATACGACGACAACCAAGACGGCAAAATAGACATAAGAGAGGTGAGTGATCGTGACAAGTATACGTGAAATAGACATTTTATGTAGCTTTTACAAGTACTTTTACACTAAAAGGAAATAAGTTAGCTTATTTGATATGCAAAAGGAGCTACGTCCATTTTATAATTCACTTCCTACAAATTCTGTCGATTAACCTATTCGTCATACTGCAGCACAACGCATTTTGCTTTCAATGCATGTATTTCGGAGTTAATGAAAACATTTTTTTCTTTCTAGGTAGAATAATGTTAAGCTTAAGTCGAAGACGCTCTAAATTTATTTGGTTGTGTTTTCAACCACGGATTTTTCTTAAGAAAATAGCCTAGTTTTGTTCAATGATGCTATATCATTATACACATTTATTTCTGTGCTAACTTAAAGGTACGATAATTTCAGTAATAAAAATTAGAATTTATTGGTGGGGAACATATTTTTATCATATCTTTCAGTTGAACTTGTTTTAGTAGAACAAAAATTGAACAGATATAAAAGTTGGCCGGGTGTCTCTTACACTGTTACAACGTCAAGTTGAATGCACGATGTTGTAATTTTCGTCACAATGTGTTACAGCTTGCCCAGCTGTTGCCGATGGAAGAGAACTTCCTATTGCTCTTCCGTTTCGATAACCCTCTCGAGGCCAGCGTTGAATTCATGAAGGTAAAAACATCGATTACGTTTATTTTAAATGAGCTTGCCTGATGGAGGCCAGAGTGCGGGATTTTAGCACTAGAGGCCTTGGTTTAAATCGTTCCAAAGGCTTTAAATCTATGACAGGTCTTTTAGTTTGCCATATTGTTTTATTTTTGATAGGTACACAAAATCTATAATTTAAACTAGCTGTTACCCACGGGCTTCACCCAGTTGACTTCATAAGTGTATAGTCTGTGTATAGTCAGTGACATTAACTTATAAAATAAACATTTTCCGATCCATTGCCGACATTTTCTTGAACATTTTAAGACCGTAAAATTGCATTAACAACTGAACAAGACCTTTAAACAAATAAACATCTTACAATACTAGTGGAAGATTAAATGTATAGTTTTAGCTAACATAAAAATAATCTATAAAACACAGTACACATTGAACAATGTACGACATACGTATGCACAAGATGTATGGAGTAAAAGTTTTACTACTTTTACTAGTATTTATTAGTATTTAAAATTAGACCAGTATCTATGAATATTAAAATTAAAACATATAATTTTTATATTCTAATACTCTTGGACGTTTGGATTTCAATTATAGCCTTTTTATTTATTTTTGTCTTTTACTAACTGGTAATTTTTGTGTACTTTTTTTGTTTTTCGTATTGTTAAAATTGTTATGGGTATAGTAAAAGGGTGTTTTACGAATATAACTTGTTATCTAGGGTGTAGAGGGCGAAGAAAAGTACATATTTGGAATAAACAAAGAAGGGTTCGAGCCACAATAACGTTTAACGAGGTCGTAACCGATCCTTTGTCAAAAGCAATATATTGTTGACGACGCTACTGGGATCAGGCTAACTTTTTTCATACTTATACAGCAATACTCCCTGTAGATGTAGAGGTGGTGAGTTTATAAATATGTTCAGAGAGTTCTGTTATTACGATGATGTGCATGGCAATTAATGTAGATTTATAATAATTAATTGAATATTTATAATCTTTGGAAGTTTATTAGTTGAACTTATCAATATGGTATATTTATTTATTTATTCTCTTTGTGTAATATGTGATTGTAAACAATTTTATTATTTTTTTACTACCGATACACGAGTGAAAAGGTGTTTTAAGTAAATCAGGATGCCGTTGTTAATCAGTTTAAAATGTATAAAGAAAAGTTAAGAGGATGATTATTTAGGCATCTATATGATTTTTTCTTAATAGTTTAAAACGAAATACCATTCCAAAAATGATTTAACGAATAATAAAAAAACTAATGATATAATCGTATGAATTTGATTTCACTTTGAAAACAACAAGATTAAAAAGAACTAGTGGCTTGTAGGGACATAAGTCCCTAAAAAGCTCAAATGTAAAACAAATTATTGTAATATTTAAACAAACTCAGAATAAAATTATCTATGTGTCAGAATTGATACAGTGTTACAATAATACATGTACTCACATTAGTACCCTGGCCCACTTATTATTTCTAATTGTATAGCTCTACTCTTTTTTTAAAGGCGCAACTCGTTTCTGATCAACATAAAATAGAAACTACTCTTTGTGTAAGCTTATCTGGTGGCATTTCTCCTAAAGCTGTGATTGATTTTACACCATCTATCAAAATAGGCCTATTTAAACATTCAGTGGGTTCATAGTTTGGCCATAGTAAAGTATTTCTTTGATAATCCGTCCTTATTTTTAAGTACTTAATTGTTAATCTATATATTATTTTTCATTCAATGGATGTATTTTTTGTTTGAAAATATTTTAACGTTTTCATATTTATTTAGCCTACAGTTAAAAAAGCTAATCATCGACTGACTACTAACTCTTTTGCCACTGGTTAGGGTTCCATTATCATGTTAACGAAACCAATCACGAAAAAATCTTTCATCAGCATTGATATAGGTAGCCTACATATTTTTGGTTAGTGAAACGTTAAGAAACGTAAACTACCTCATTTCAGACTAACATTTCAGTTTCTTATCTTATTAGGCCGAGCACCGTTTCTATGTTAGTATGGATAACGATATAGATAACAATATTGATAACGATGCTAATGAATTTACTGTTGATTGCAACTTAGTTAACGATTATGATGATATAAAGGACATTTGCAACGTATCAAGTAATTATTTAAATTTCAATGTAATGCATCAAAACATCCGAAGTTATTCGAAAAATATTGACCAACTGGTAGTAGTGTTAAATAGTATTCCTGTAAAAGTTCATTGTATAGTATTGAGTGAGGCATGGCTGAATGACGATTCCCAGTTGGTACACATAGATGGTTATGATGTACATAAATCAGAAAATCCCTTGAACAGAAACGATGGGTTAGTGGTGTAGATGGACAGTGCGTTCTCGGTGACTTGCCGTCAGCTGTGTCTAGGAGGCGTGGCCAGCTGTTTGTCGATCTCGTTTCAATGGGCCGGTCACCCGTGCGAGCTGCTCTGTGTATACCGCAGCCCAAGTTCAAATTTAATATCTTTTGTAAATGGCCTTCAAAACTACATTTAATTAATTAACGGTAATCAAGGAAATCGTATGACAAGAATTTTAGTTGGTGATATAAACATTAATATATTAAATGTAAATCATAACTCAGTAGAAGACCAATATTTAGATGTTCTTTATGACGCAGGATATGTATCCTGCATCGATAAGGTAACCCGACCTGAGAGTCAATCATGTATAGACCACATTTTTGTACGATTGTTAAAGTCATTCAATGTCCATTCAGCTGTTCTAAATTCATCAAATACAGATCACAGACTAATTTTTTTGTTTTTAAATTCAAAATTTAGCTTAACTAGTGAACATACGTCAATTGTTAAGGAAAAAACTGATTGGGTAAAAGTTCAAAATTTATTATCATGTGTTAATTGGCAATCTGTGCAAGATGATTCTATGGACCTAGACACCTGTGCTACAAAAACGGTAGATATTGTCACACGTGCTATGACTAGCTCAACGTGGAATGGGCACACGGGAGGGACTAAGGCTAAAGGTGTAGTGACGTCATATCTCTAGGGGCTAATGTCTTCTCTTGAGGCAACACGATTACCATAACGAAACGATGGGATTTCAGCGGCGTTCGTGGCATAGTTGGTAGCGATTCGGATTGGTATTCAGGAGGTCCCGGGTTCGAATCCCGCTGGTAGCACTAACTTTTTGTCAACAAATTTTTCATATCAGCAAGTTTGGTTGGTTAGGTTAGGTTATAACAGTTTAATTTTATAATACTAAATTTTAAAATTAATTTTATAATTAATTAAAAATTATAAGTACCGGTAATCATTAATTAGATTTTATCTTATATAGTTTTTATATTATCAGCAAGTCTGGTTGGTTAGGTTATGTTATGACAGTTTAATTTTAAAAATTAATAATTTATTTTATAATTTTAAAACAATATTTTATAATTAAAAAGTTAATTTTATAACTAAAACAAAAAATTAATTTAAATTTTTTCAACTTAGCAGTTCTAGCGGCGAACGCTGACACTACAAGATATGTTAGCCTTAGTCCCTCCCGTGTGCCCCACCGAGCTCAACGTCCCCAGCCAAACTAAACTGTAAGGCCAGGCGCACACAGGCGATTTTGAGTCACGCAACAGTTGCCCGACTAAAATGTTTAACATTGTTTTAAATTGGAGTGCGCACACGAAGGAAACAGTCTGGGGACAGTCGCGCAACTGTTGCAACCGATGTTCCCGGACCCAATTTGCCAGCGACTGCTCTGCGACTCAATTGTTGCGGGACTGTCGCTCTAGGTTTGGTATCCATTAAAACAAGTGTAGATGCGCACACATGCAACTAAATAGTCGCTGTGTCGCCCAGTCTCACCCCAGGAGTTCAACTACTCGTGGCCAGAACTGTCACTAGTGTTTGCTCTCTTGTTGTGTGAAGTTTTTAGAAAATTACAAGTATGAGTGTGCGTGATGAGGATGTCGAAAAATTAATTGATGAAGTCGAGAAGAGGCCGACTATATTTAAAGTCATTGAAACTGTCCTTTCACAAGTCGCTCACTATATATGGGATGAACCCAGTATCTTCTCATTTTCTTTCGCGCGCGAAACTTCAGCAACAAAGCACATACTACGGCTGTATCATTGAAATCCATTCGGAACGCTGTAAGGCTAGGCGCACACGGCGCACACGAGCGATTATTTTGAGGCGACTATTTCATCGGCCGATCTGTGCATCATGTATTTGAATGGAAGCGCGCACACAGGCCATCGAGAATTGCGCCGATTTTAAAATCTGGGTTTTGCCACAGATTCGTAGGCGAGGCGATTGTCGCCCGAAAATCTGTAACGTACAGATTGTTATCAGTCCGGGCACACGGTCGACTAAAAATCGGCCAGTCGCTTGTTGTTCTCCACAGGAGTAGTGAACTTCAGTGTGAGTTGTGTTGTTTTCTTTGTTAAAAAGGCCACAGGTGTTATAATAAAAACTGAAACAGACATTCTATAGTAATTAAAGGACTTTTTACTGTCATCACGTAAAGTGTATAGTTTATAAAACTGTCGATTTAAAAGTCTCTGACTTACTATCGGATGAACCCAATATTTAAGTTTTCTTCTTTTTTTCTTTGGTCTAATTAGAAGAGCACAAAAACACTGGTTAATTCAACAAAGTCCATTTTAGGATAGCTTAAACGCACTAAAAAAACCCATTTCTCGACTAAAAAATCGCCACGTGTGCGCCTAGACATAAATCAAGGGCGATTTATTTTTGGCCGATTTTTTAATCGGCCGATCGAAAAATTGACCGTGTGCGCCAGGCCTAACGAATGTATTTCCAACACGTCTCAAGACTAGATCCGCGACTAAAAAGTTGCCTGTGTGCGCACTCCAGCTCAACTGTCGCTAGACTTCAGAGTCTCCGAGAGAGTCGCGCAACAGTCCCCCGATTAGTCGGGCAACTGTTGCGCAACTCAAAATCGCCTGTGTGCGCCTGGCCTAAGACTAAGAAAATTAAGCCATGGATAACAGTAGGTTTAATTAATTCAATTAGGGAACGTGACAAATTATTCAGAAAGATTAAAAAACAACCATTCAATTTACGATTACGTCATCATTATATAACTTACAGGAATACCGTTCATTCACTTATAAAGCGCGCTAAGTATGACTATTACAGGGACCAAATTGAACAGGCTAATGGTGACGCAAAGCGTTTTTGGGGAATTGTGAATGAGGCTGCCGGCCGCCCAGTTAGAAAACAACCTTTCCCTGTGCAGGAGTTTGCAGATTCAAACGACGCTGTCACTCCCGACCATGTCAAATCTATTTCCAATTCATTCAACAACTATTTTGCATCGGTTGGAGTAGAGCTCGCTACAGCTTTACACCCTGATGGCCCTCCTCCAGTGTTGGTGGAGGCCGATCCCAGCCAGGAGTCTGTCTTCCGATTCCAGCCGGTCACCGGAGAGCAGATTACTGAGGTCGTCAGGAGTATTAGAGGAGGTTCTGCACCAGGCCTTGACAATATTTCAGCAAAATTTGTAAAGGAATCTATTACCTGTATTATTGAACCACTTTACTATATTATCAATCGTAGTTTAAAAACTGGAGAGTTTCCGAATATTTTCAAAATAGCTAAAGTCATTCCCTTATATAAATCTGGACCAAAATCTGATAAATCGAACTATAGACCTATTTCCCTTCTAACGGCGTTTTCCAAAATACTTGAGAAATGTGTTAAAATCCAATTGGCAAATTACTTAAATCAAGAAAATATAGTTTCCAGTTCACAGTATGGTTTTCGAAACGACAGAAATACTTCAGACGCTCTATTCGATCTTACAAAATTTATCTTTGAATCATTCAGTGAAAACAAAAAAAAATCTTATAACTTTTTTGGATCTTACCAAAGCCTTCGATTCAATTGACAGAAACATTCTAATAAGTAAATTAGAATGTATAGGTATCGAAGGACCAACTCTAAGATTGTTTGCGAACTATTTTAAGTCTCGGGAACAATAGTAGTTTCCATAAATTGAGTTGTGAGTGATGTAACACCGGTAGAATATGGTGTGGTTCAAGGCAGTACTCTCGGGCCTCTATTATTTTCTATTTACATAAACGACATATCTAAAGTTAAATTAAATAGCAAGGTGATACTGTTCGCTGATGACACGGCGGTTGTGACCACCGGCAGTACGTGGGACGAGGTGTACGATTCTGCATCGACAGATCTCCACAATTTTAAATCTTGGTTTGATTATAATACACTTACAGTCAATGTTGGAAAAACTAAATGTCTTCCTATTTTTCTTAGAAATATCTTTGGACTAGGTGAGAGATCTTTGAAGCTGCACTGCTGTGGCGATGCACTTGCGATTGGCTGCGCATGTGGAGTGATTGAGCGTGTGGAGCAGTATAAGTATTTAGTGGTTGTGATCGATAGTAAATTGACTTGGGCTCCGCATGTTCAATACGTCAAAAACAAAGTACGTAAGCTCATTTACGCATTCACGCAGCTTCGGGAGGTGCTTTCGGGGCAGCAGTTACGGACCGTGTACTTTGCCTACACAACTAACTATACGCATTTTTAATACAACATAGATAATTTACACATTAACTGTTTACAATTAACATATGTTCTTCTTCTCACTATAAATTTTTGCTTCGCAACGGGAAAAATCAAATCAAATCAAATCAAAATCTCTTTATTCCTGAATAAATATTACATGTTGTTAAAATTGTGTATGTACAGGAAAAATAATTCCCAAGTAGACTATCCGTCTGTGTTTGGGAATGAGTCGGTGTTGCAGTATGGTATCCTGGCTTGGGGTGGTGCCCTTCCCACTGCTCTGGAACCACTTTCTGTCGTTCAACGATCTGTTATAAAAACTATCTTAAATAAAAACTCTAGATTTTCTTCCTTGCAACTGTTTTGCGACTTTCCAGTTTTAAACATTCGCCAATTGTTCATAAAAAATCTTCTTATTTTCATAAAACTTAATAAATGTTCGGTTTTTTCTCCTGTTCAACATCGTTATTTGACTAGAAGTAACATTAACTTCGGATTTTCTTTTCCCAGACTTTCCCATTCAACCCTTAAAACTATACCTTTTTACGTTTGTCATACATTGTATCGAAACTTGCCTTCACATATACGAGAGGCGGAGAGTGACAGCGTCGCTGTGTTTAAACGTAGAGTCATGAGCTGGCTATTAAATCTCGGCGGGGAGCAATCAGAAGGATTACTCAAATCGTTGTACTCATAATTTTTTGCAGTTTCATTTATCACCAAAATCACGTTATTTTTTCTTCATTGCTATATACCACTTACAATCACTAAAGTTGAATTTTGGATGTTTCGATGCAGTTAGGTTTTTTTCATTTCATCTTATTAATATTTTGTTATATTACTATCATCATTAATTGTCTAAGTACTCCTGAATATTTATGGACCTGTGTATAGCTGTATTAGCAACTCATTCCCAAACACAGACGGATAGTCTACTTGGGAATTATTTTTCCTGTACATACACAATTTTAACAACATGTAATATTTATTCAGGAATAAAGAGATTTTGATTTGATTTGATTTGATTTTTCCCGTTGCGAAGCAAAAATTTATAGTGAGAAGAAGAACATATGTTAATTGTAAACAGTTAATGTGTAAATTATCTATGTTGTATTAAAAATGCGTATAGTTTTGGATGTTGGTTTGTGTTTAATGATATAAGTTATTAGTTATTGAATTTTTATTTTAAGGATTTGGCATATGAGTAAGCCTATGATAAATAACACCATTTCAGAGATTTTGCCAGTTTTTGCCTAACTCTGTCCTGTAGAGTTTAAAGTAGCCTACACCTTATTGTCTACAAATTGGCTAAATAACTTAGGTACGGACGGTACGGTACTTTATAAAAGCTTACAGCCTTTTTATGTTGACTTAAATTGTAAGCTTACCTTTTCCCGTCCATGGACAGTTTGATTGTTAAAAATTAACCCTTTAAACTGGAATAGGACTGTGATGTAAATTGTGAGTATTGCCATTAGTTACTAATCTTTTAGTTGACTCTTTTAAAATCATCGGAAATTATGACTGTTATTAGTTTTTAAACAAGTTATTTGTTTATGAATAACTCCTGTACTTCTTTGCAATTGCTCGATTTCGAGCAACATGTACACTAGTACTTATTTAATACGCAAGCAGGTTTTTTTGTGCCAATTACTCCTCTGAAACTACTGAACCGATTTACATGTTCTTGGTGTCATTGGAAAGAGCGTAACGTGAAGTTGTGCAGGAAACTTTCTTTTAAGGGAAATAATTAGAGGGTGAGGCCCTGGGGCCCTTTGAAGTTTCGTATTTCTCCATAAGATTAACATGGGAAACAAAAATTGTTATGAAACTCCAGCTGTTGTCAGAAATTAAAAGTGAGAAGAAGGACACATGTTAATTGTAAACAGTCAATAAGTTTGCTAATTTAACAGTTTGCTACAAACATTTACTTACTTGGTTGAAATGAAATAGTTACTATTTGAATTTGGGTTGGCGTAAATATTACAATGGAAAAAAACGAGAAAACCTGGATAAATTGATATACTAAAAAGAAAACTGAATTAACACTGTGCTGCATTTCTTAGTCATCATTGAAAGAGACGATTTGCAAACCATGGAAGCATAGGAAAATCATAGAACACCACCAAGGGAAAGAAATAGAAATAATGTGTGTTTTCTTTTTTGTTTTTTATAATCGTTATTATGTACAACCTAATGTGGCTATGAGTGAGGCTATTTGTAGAAAACACTAAAAACAAAATCAGCTTTTGAAAAATGATAAGATATTTACAAGAAATGTTGATTACATCGATCTGTTATGTACATCTTGAGTATTCCATAATCTTTGAGTCGAATCTTTTAAAGTCATCAACAATTATGACTGTTATTCGTTTTAAAATAACGCCTGTAATACTTAGCAATTGCTCTATTTCGAGCAGCAGGGACACTAGTTATCTTAAATATCGTTATTGATAGTATTATGAAAAAAATAAACTACAGTGTAAAGTATCAATATACAGTACCTAGTAAGGGTCGATAATAATTAACATACACACATTTATTTGAGAATAAACTGAAATAATATCCATACACGTTTCCCGTTTGTAATTATAATATAACATTAATATAATATTGTTTAATATAATTATTGTTATTGTTGTATAATATTGTAGTATTGTGTAATTATAATATTGTTTGTTAGCCGAAATATAATAATTTTAGTGTTATTTGACGTATTCTTTGTGCTTTTATGTAATTTAATAAGACATACGATGCAGATAAAAAAGTTATTTAATTACATTTGTATAATATACTAAGTATCTACAAACTGACAATATTAAAGTAGTGCTTATAGTTTACAAATATTAATAATTATAAATACAACTTCTAAGTGGTTTTTGGGTTACAAGTGAGATAGTTGCAATCGTAGTTTTTATTTAAAAACCTAATATAACAAAACCAACATTAATAAAACATGTGATTTGAATTTTTTCCATTTGTTTTGATTTTCTGATTATAAACTATTTGGTTGTTTTTTTGTCACCAGCCTAGCAGCCTATAAGACCCATGTTATTTTTTTATTTCAAATTAATTTTTCGTGGTGTTTTTGAGCATATTTAATGTATTAATGGATTCTGTTTTAAAGTGTTTGAATTTAAATTGTTAAAGTGTTTTTTATGTTAATAAATTAGTATGAAATAAATTAATCTTTCAAATGTAATCAAAATATATTCATAAACAGGCAAACTGAAACAGCTATTCTCCATTAGCATTATATAGGAATTTTATATTTACATTTTTTTTGTAATTTTCTCTGTAACCATTAGACGCATTATGACGCTTCAATATACTAAACTATTTGTTTTTTGAGTCTATATCAACGATGTAAAGAACTACATTTACATGAGTTGTTTATATAGTTGGTCTAGATTACCTCATTAAAAAAATATAAAAAAATCTGCAAGCATCTTAATCGTAGATAAGAGGGTAAGCTTTTATTCCAATGTTATTAGACGCAGATGCGTCATGACGACATGGATAATGTGACAAGTTTAAGTGTACACTTGATTTATCCGGTTCGGTAACAAGCTGTCAAAACATAGTCTGGTAGTCCACGTGGCGCTCGGGCCACCCGGCGCTCGCGCCACGTAAAGTGTTGTTATTATATATCTATGCGTAAAGCACGGGTCACACTAGGCTGGCATCAGCGGCGAATTGAAAGAAGCCGCTACTTTCAGCTTAATGTGACCACAAAATTCGCAGCTGGCACCGCCATCCGGCGAGTATTTGTCAGCGGCTGGCGAAGTTGGACATGCTCAACTTTTGGTAGCGAGGCAGCGGCGACTAGAGGTCACGTGACCATTCGCACTCGCTGACGCCAGCGAGCAGCGTAGTCTGACCACCTCTATGCTTGCCAGCGGCGACCAAAGA